GACATTTGGTGGCAGCAAACACAACGGTCCTGTTTGCGTCATGTTCAGGGTTCGACTTTAGCGGTAGCCCGCTAGCCAAATGCTAGTCAAAACAGCGGCGGGCTAGTCAAACTATTCCTTAACTAGCCTGGCTGGCGAGTGAAAAATGATTGGGCTACGGAAAACATGAAAGGACTGTTTAGGGTTAAATTATTAGATCTGTATGAGACACTCTATAAAAGCAAAAATGTGGGCTAGTGAAAATGCCCGCGGGCTAGTTAAGAGTCTGTTTCAGTAGCCCGGCTGGCTAGGAAAAAAAAAAGAGTTAAGGTCGAACCCTGGTCATGTTTAAGCTAATGTGCATATGTTCAAAATGACGCAAACAAAATGACGCAAACAATAGAAAACAACCAGTGTGTTTTCTTATGCATCATTCACAAGGATATTTAAGAGGATTACTATAAAACCTGTTCATAGAGTAAATTATTGAAAAACATCATGTTGCCATAGAAATACACTTATGATGCATTGCACCAACGAAATAGCATATCATGATTTCATTGTCTTGCACAGCTGAGAGGCCATCCATAAAGTACGTATGCACGAGGGGGAGGGGCGGGGGTTGTTAACACTGCATACACCATGCGTACGGGGGGGGGGGGGGTGTTCCAAGCCAAAAACGTACAAACACAGAGGGATATAATTTGCTTTGAATAAATTGTCATAAAATCGATATACTTTCTCATATTTAATACCTACCAGGACCAGCTTTTATGTATCGATGTACACCTAACCTCACCGTTTTAAATTTATCCTCCTAGTGCCAACGCCTGTAGAAGCCATTAAACTGAAGAAACCGCAACATTATAAAAGGCGATTGTGATACGGGCCACTCTTTATAGTTTTGGTCAAGTACACATAGTTGGAGAGTCAAGAGTGTTTTTCCAAAACAACTTTTGCAACCTACAGCTGACTTCTCTAAAATCTAACAACAAATTTTTTTTAAATTTAAATGATATCTTTTGGTAAAAAATGCGATATTCGTAGGCATTTTACAGTTCATGCAATGTGAATTAACGTAGTTTTGTGCATTCGCGGTGCACCATGGTGATAGCAATTTTTATACTTGTGTTGCACTTTGTCGTCTTCGTCATCGTTTTACCCCAAAATTTCCCACCAACAAAATCAAAACCCTGCCCTTTATATCCATGACAATCTTGTTTGTTTTTGCTAACTAGTTTGTTAAGTTCAATAACCTCATCGCCAATCAAAAGTACATGTGCAGTAAATGTACATGTACAGTACGTGTACATGTACACTACATGTACATGTATGTTCAGTACGTGTACATGTGCACTACATGTACAGTACATGTACAGTACGTGTACATGTACAGTATATGTATATTGTACACCAAAATGTGTACCTATGTGTACAGGCGGTGGGGGGGGGGGGGGGGGGGGGGGACGTAAGCCATGTGGGGGGGGGGGGGGAGGGGGGGAACCACTGTGTAAGCCATGTGTACAGGGGGGGGGGGAGGTGTCGGGTGTCTAAAAAGTCAGCATTTTGTGCGTACGTACTTTATGGGGTGCCCTAGCTAACAACATTATCATAATGCATTGTGTAAGTTTATGGTTTTTTTTGGAAATCAGATGATGGACTATTAACCATGTTTAAATCCATGACACACAAATTACAGGTGACTTAAGCTGCCCTCAGGTCGACCTTGCGATAACACTGAACAGTCGGCGACTGACTTAATTTTCAGCATGAGCTACGACTGTTGGGAACAAACTTGTCGCTAATTTTTTGCAACTTGAGAGTAACTGGGAGCATATTAAGATGATATCGGCATCGGTGGGCGCTTAAAAAAAATCAACAGTTGCAAGAGTGGAAAAATTTCAACTTCTGCAACGTGTTCCCGCGACTGGCGGAAATCATTCGCAGTCGTGTACCCAATAAGTGTGCGGCAAAAATGGCTGAATAAACAGGTGTTGCCATGGAATGTCGTTTCATAGTAATCAACGTGCTTTAACCGCTATTGTTAAAGAAGTCACATGACTGGCTATGCCTTGGAATCACCGTCGCGTTGATTTCTCAGTTTTGTGACCTGAGCATTACTTTTCTGCGTGATACCCATGGTTCCGTTGTGGCGCAAGCAAATCGTGGTTCGACCTGCAGGCCGGCTTTAAAAAGAATATAATAAGGAAAATTTGCTAACCTTTGGATTTCCGCTTTGTCGTTAACATAATCCTGGAAGTTGGTTCTACTTGACCTCGACTCACAAATTTGTCAGATTGGGTGGTTTCATCTGCAGTACAAGTTGATGAGAAAATAAGGGAATAACAGTGTGAGGAGCCGGTCTTCACTGCGTGATAATGACTGGGTTTGGGGGTTCGTCTCGGTCCATTAACAGCACAACAGTACATGTTCTATAGCAGGAATTTTAGTTCTATAGCAGGAAAAGTCATGTAGCCTCTTTCATGGTTAGCATTTGTTACTGCCAACTATTGCTCTGTGCACAAGTATACGCCCTCAATGGTAAGAAGGAGAGAGTTGGAGGAGACCATTAGGAGAGACTTCTGAATGCATTGCTGAAGACGCCTGACGCTCACGCGAAGACGCTAGCTTTTGCACATTCAGAATAAAATTAGCTTTGTTTACTTCGCACCATATATGTGCAGAAACCAGTATGCGCATGCGGTGTGTCCTGTTCACTGGGCTCTCAAAAGTTATAAATACGCACCCCTCTCTTCTTCACATACAATGCCCATAGCTAAATGTGACCTAGGTGGAAGAATTGTATTTTTTTTTAATTGAAAAGATACATGTTTGTTTTAATGTATGCAAAGGATTTTAGGACTGTCAGGACCAAATAAATAATACGTACCGGTGCGAGGCCTTACAGTGGTAGAGTGGGAGGACTCATTTTGAAGGGGAGGGGTGACTTGGATACTTTGCCAGAAGTTTTGTGGCATGTGTGGACTCTGAAGCCAACAATCCATTGCGTCCGTTGGTTGGAGTGTAACTTGGAAATCCATGTAGTACTTGGAGTTCATCAGGTTTGGTCTCAATCCAGGCAACATTTGATTGCTCACATAGCACACTGGCACAGTTCGGCATCCTTTTCGGTAGACACAGTGACCATCGTAGACAGACGGTGTGGCGGTGGTGTTCAGGGTGCATGAGTATTCTTCACTTTTCATGCACGTATCAAAATTGCAGGATTTACTTGCAAAGTTGGTACTGTTCAATTTAGATGTGGCTCTGCACTCCAAATTGACAGACTGGATCTTTTCAGAGGAAGTATCATTAGTCAGGGCCAAATATTTTCCAGAAATATTATGCTGCGTTAACAGAGATAGATTTTCTAAAGGCATAATTTCGACGCCATGTTTGTGAAACGACAAGTCGATGTTTCCATTGTCTGGTTCAGTGTAAGAACACCATTGAATTTGTGGCTTATCGCCAATATGAGTTATTGTTGACTTACAATCTGGCTGTTCCATTGGAGCGGAAAGCCGCAACAAAGCCACCAAAATAGCACAAATCATACAAAAGTACAAAGACATTTTTATCTTGTGTGCGCAGCAAAAATATAGAATAATGGCGTACTGCGCATGTCAGGCATGTACGTGGACATGTGACCAAAAAAAAAAAATCTTACGAAGTTTGTCCATGTGTGAGAAATATATGAGGATAAATATGCAAAGACGTCAAATGCATACATTTTTTTTATGATTTCAGTTACACTTGGTATATCCAAAGATCTGCTGTCGTTATTCAAAGGTTATCTGGCAATTTTCGTACGACGATGAACTGTGACTAAGCGAATCAGTGGCCACATTGATAGTCCCGCTAACTTCAAAAACTTGAAAAAGAAAAATTTATTGATTATTTCAAAGTTCATAAATAGATGGTAATGTAGATTGTAAACTCTGAACTGTTAAATAATGGCTCATGTAGGAAAGAGAAGGTTTCATGAAATCAATTATTTGAGGGGAACTTTTTGTAGTAAAAAAACAACACATATTTGCCCCATCGCTGTAGTGGTATCTGCTTTGTCCGTCCGTGTCAGTGCGTATGTACATATGGTTCCTTATCAATGGGGCAGCTAGTAGGCACAATAGGGACAATACAAATCTGGCCCATAAGGAAAGCCCAATGGAGTTTGAGATTACAATAGAAACAAAGGACAACAAGAGAATGGAAACAAATGGCCCCCCCCCCCTCCCAACAAATATGTATGTAAGGCCACGGGTGTGCGTGTGCGCATGGGTGGGTGCCAGCGGGCGTCCTTACACATGTATCATCCTGCAGTTCCGCTTGGCTTACAATCCTGAATCCATCAAAATCCCCCAGTTTGTGCAATATGGAGGTATCCTGAATCCATCGAAATCCCCCGAAACGGAGGGGGGGGGGGGGATTTTGATGGATTCAGGTACATTAGGGTTAAAGTGTAGGAAACATTTGACATTCCCTATTGATCTGGCCCAGCTCTCTGGAACACACTCCCTCCTCAACTCAGAAAAAGAAAGCTCACATGCACAATTCAAAACTCAGTTAAAAACCTACGTTTTCCCAACTTCTTAACTTGTGTTAAATTTCTGTGTTAGTAAACTGTTGTATTAATACATGTTCATTGTACATGTTAAAGCCCGGTTCATACTTCACGCGAAAGCGAATGCGAAGCGAAATTCGTGACGTCAACAATACGTTCGAAGCGCGTCCACCATTGTTGATGACATGAATTTCGCTCCGCACATGCTTTCGCGTGAAGTATGAACCGGGCTTTATGCTTACATTGCAATATTGCATATCATCCGTAATTGCTTCAGAATAGACATGGTGAACTATAAATGTCCACTATTATTATTGTTATAAACAGAAGATAAAGATTTGAGTATAATAAGTATAACTTTATATTAGAAGAAATGGTATGAGAAAAAGTTGCTGATTTTACTAATTTCTTGTAAGTAACAAACTTGTGGATTCTTTCTCTTTTTTGTATGTGCACTTAGGCCAAGACAAAGTATGTGAAGGAGGCTTGGGTCAAATCACTGCATGATTTGATTGCTGAGGTCCCGAAAGATCTACGGGAAGGCAAATCCTCTAGCGAGAGGCGCTTTGGTATGTGACCACGACTGTAATGACTAGCTCGGTGATCATGCTTGGTGATCTATCATTATTTGTGTCAGTGTGAATTGTGTTGGCCATAAACATGGTTTGCGTTTCTCAGAAATCGTCTTCATTTGATATCTTACAATGAAAAAAGGCAGATTTTTGTTTTTCATATTTTCTGAGGAAAATTTGTTTTTAAGTTCAAACATTTTCCAATCCTAAACAGCTTGATTTGCATAGTGTTTTCATTGTCTGGGGTGCTTTGCAGTGATTGATTTATCCGCCAAGCATTTTGTTTCATATTTGTGTTCCCTGTAATTTACATTGAGGCAACATTTTGTTTCATTGTTTGGTTGAATCATTTTGAGTTGCGTACATAATTTTTGTTTGGTTGGCCGTGCCATTTTGTTAATTGACCAACATTTGATTTGCATAATTTTCAATGCATATCTTTGTTTATGCGAAGATCTATCTGCTAATTAAACAAGACAAAAAAGATGAATTGATTGGTGCATCTGGAACATAAGATGTGCTTTGAGATGTTTCAAATGCATTTTCTCCATTGACATTGGTGTGTTTGGGTCACATGACATTCAGCTTTATCTTCAAGCAAACGTAAATCCTCGGTGTTGATTGGTTGTTCCATTGCAACAGCAATGTGATATTTTCCAATACTGCAAAATTACTGTAACATGGAATATGTACATGTATCGTACTCTAATCACTTGTATGCATTTATGAAGCCTGCAGTGTGTATGAGGATCGTTACGTTTGTTTTGAACAAAGTTTGCTTGAATATAAAGTTGTTATCATACTTGCATCTATGGAATATGAAAAACATTTGCAGTTTGGTATATGGGACTAGGACACAAATATGTTCATTTGTGCTCAAGGGATAACTAATATTGTGTGCTGTGTTGCTTTTCTGTTTTAAACGTTACCTAATAATGTTTGCTAGCTGTTGTAACAATAATTTTTCAGCAGATGTTGTAACTCAAGATTATAATCCATAAGAAATATTTAACTACATTGATGAATAACAATTAATAACTAACTGCCAAACTATATCTAACTAATACCGACGTCTTTGCTAAAGATGAAATATATCAGGCCTTTCTAACTTTTTCATTAATATAAAAATCGAAATTATTACTTTCTAAAATACCATTCTAAGAAAAGAAAAAAAATAGAAGTTTCTGCAAAAAGAAGAAGTGAAGATAGTGCACAAGATTTTGCTAATGTTTCTTCCTTGACATCTTTATTTCCTGATGTCAGGAAATAAATTGTTATTTTTTATGGCAGCCTTTTGTTTTAAAAAATTGCAAGTTTTGTTCACAAATGGCCGATGTTGCCGAGCAAAGATTCAGTTGCCATGGTTTTTTATTTTCCATTGTGTGTTCTACATTTCCGTTTCATTAACACAACTGCTCTTCATTCCTGTGTGCTGTGATGGGATTTATTTATACCGCCCTCTATCATCAGACCACTCACCAATCATGCGTAAACGCCGTGCGGTATCCATGCACTTGTCCGGAAGCTCCATGACATCACTATTGGAACCAGGTATTGCCTAGCGATTCCATCAGGAAGTGTAGTCATTCCATACAGGATATACTGGAAGCAGTTGTTACAGAATATTTGATCCAGTAGAGAACAGTTTTAATTTAAGAAATTCCTCAAAACTCGAAAAACTTGCATTCCTTTTGGAACACACTTTTTTAATGAAGGAAGTTGCATTCAGATTGGGATGTGCTGTGTTCTTACTGTTTTCAGATAGCAGCTGATTTCACGAAACACTGCGTAACTTGCGCCATGTGTAGGACTTGTGCAACAAATTTGTTGTGCAGTTGCGCAATTTACTTATGATCAATGTCACGAAACTTGGCATAGCTGCGCAATGATTCGAATAATCTAAACATCTTGGACGAGGATTAATAGCAACATTTTTAAGGGCTGTTTGTGTATGATTTTGTTGGGTCACGAAACAGTCCGTGAATCACCTCCGCCCGCCATTTAAAAAAAAAAAGTCTTTTCCGACTTTCTTCAGAATCGTGCGGCAACTCTAAAAATTCTGTCAGGAGTGAAATAGCGATTCATTTACCTCAAACACAAAGCTGTGTGCGTCTTTCATTAACCTTGATTAGCTCTGCAATGCTGGGCTCCATGACCATCACGATTTGCCTGTACAATAGTTCAATTTTCAGTCGCTATGCCACAACTTACGCCACCTAAAATGATTGTGCAAGTTATGCCATAATTTGTTGCGCAAGTTGCGGACTTCCACACAATGAAACTTATTTGAAATGTGTCATAAGTAAAATGTTGCCCAGCGTGAAAAGTTGCGCAAGTTATGCAATAAATTGTGGCGCAAGTGGAGTTATAACATTACGTAAATTCTCGTGAAATCAGCTGCAGCAGTCCTATATGGGAAGACCCAGAGTTCCCTGTGCATACCGCGTGAATTCTCATTGTGAACTGACAGTGTTCCCAATGTAATTTTCCAACATGCCAAGTTTAACATGATTCGTTATGAAGGTTATTTAACATATAACAATAAAAAAAAACTAATCACTCGATACAAAACTGTTTGTTAACCAATAGAAGTCTTGTTCCCATGAAAAAACCTGGACAAAGTCATGCATCATGACATTGAGAGTCTTGTGTGTGCACAGATTGTTTGGCTTAAGAAACTAATACATGACATAATAAGCGATGACAACTCGTGAGCAAAGAAAACATTTGATGAATGGAGCATCTATATGCAAAAATATATCATGTGAACAAATCCAATATGTGTCTGATAACCAATTCAACAAAATAACTGACTGTGTGATAGCTAACAACTGTTTCAAACTGATTGTTAATCACTGAATTCTATTCAAAATGAATTAACAAAAATGAACCATATAAAATTAACCTCTCAATCAACTTACTACGTGTCTTGATAGAGGAATTTTGTTCTCTTTTTTCTCATCTTCTGTGATTCCTAACCACTTGTTTTGTTATGAAAATGTAACAATTCCATGTTATGAAAATGGATTAAATGGATTAAATTAATTTTTTTTCTGTACAGGTTTGAATGGCAATTTCAGCAAATCCACCGAGTCTCTGATCAGCTTAATATCCAGCCCAACACTGCTGAGCGTCCCACGATCTGGTCGAGGCAGTATCGACAGTATGACTGGATCAGTGGACTTGAGCGGTTTCACTACTGTAAGTTCAAACATTCTTACTTCGCATTTTCAAAATATGTCCAAATAGACCTTTCTCATGCTGCCGCCATTTCAGTCATGTTCCCTGTATGCAATAACAGTACTGAATGATAATGGTTTTTGTGCAAAAAGGAACCAGACTATTTTTCCTTCCAGCCTCGCTTTGGTTACGTTGATTTGAATGGGAAACAAATCAAGATGGCCGCAACGTGATAATGGTCTATACATTGACTTTATCTCATGGTCGATACTGGTCTATGGCATCTACACGGGAGGTCTTCCACTTTGTCTCCTATCAAAGTTTAGGCCATCAGCCTGGGGGTTTGTTCAGTATCGAATCAGGGCACAAATGATTGTTGTGCGCATGCGCAAGGTATACCACCCCTAGAGTGGTAACAAGCATTTTGATGGACATTTTGAAAAAAAGGGTGATAACACCCAAAAAGCTGTCACCGCTGCAATGCTTTCACATATTTTCAAACTCTGGAGGTGTATACCTTGCCAAAAATCGGGCGATTCACAATGCAGCGCGCCACCAAGAGTTTGCCATGGAGAGTCCAATTTTCAAGTTTACGGTCGACAAAACATGGCCCATTTGAATGAATGTCGGTAGACAACTTGAGCTAATATGTCATAGATTGGGGCATAGCGTTCTGCCGCCTTACAAAAAACACCATATTGATAACAAGAAAAGAAATGGGCGAACAGATCCTCGAATCATACGCTTACGAAACCACTGACCGAAAAAACTAACAATTTCAAATGTCCAGGCTACGAATTTGTCGACCATCTCCTACAATGCACTGGGAAAAATGAACTCTCCATGGCAAACTCTTGGTGGCACACTGCATTGTGAATCGCCCGAATTGTTTCCCTCATTTGATACCGGTGGCCATAATTTTGGACCGAGGCTGATGGCCTAGTTTGTTGAACAGGGGGTTTGAATGTCTTGCTATTCACTAATTATGAGCGCTCTTGCTGTTTGATCGCTGTTTGTGAGACTGTTTGTGAGGGTGTCTAAATCATTGGCCTGTGATTTTGGTTGAGGGACTGTTTTTTAGAATAAGTTTCTAACTGAAGGCGCATTCACATTGGAAAAAGTTACCGCATGTGATTGTTAACATTCTGTTGTGGTTATGCTTACTGTGTGTTCGCATTTGGATTAATTTCGGAAAGTCATTCACTTGGTAAAACTAACATTGTAATTCTTCTGCAACCCAGTTGGCCCTGTATAACTTACAATTGCAGACTCAAATTGGGAAGTTAACAGGCCGTCGGTACTGGACTTAATTTGGTTGAGTTGACAACAGTCTCCGTTACTTTTACCAAAAAGTCTCAGAGGTGTTAAGGTGGGACCAAAATGAATGTAGTCGAGCAACTCTCTTAAAGATATAGTCCATCATTTGTAATTTGTGCATTTTGTTCGTTTGAAGCAACAAAAGTGTTCAAAATCTAATGAAGGATACTGAACAATTAACCTGATGAAGTTTCAGCTCAGCTTCAGCTGTATATTCCGAGAAAAACAGCATTCTAGGATCTCAATTTCAAATCAAAAGTTGCTAAATCATGTTTTGAATTGGGCCTGAATTCAGCGTCCGTGATGCGTTCTCACTGAGCCGATTGCAGCTACGCGATGTCGCGCACTGATCCAACAAATTATAGCGTGCGCGTGTGCGTCGTGCCAATGCTTGCGCGCGCTTTGCCGAATAACAAAACAGACTACCAATTTAAATTTTCCTTTGGTGCATCTTAAGGTGCACCGTTGGAAAGGCCTTCTTTCGTTGATTACTTCAAAATGACAGCTTGCCAGAAAGAATAATTTCACAGGGAGTTTAGTCCCCTTACTATCTTTCAACCAAGTATGTTTTTCAACAATAATTACGCCAGTTACTTTTCGGATGGCTGCAAATGATGGACTATAGCTTTAACCAGAAATCGCAAACAACGGATTAAATTTTGACTTCCTTGTTTTCCCCCAGCTTGTCCCATCTGTCGGCTCGACGTACGAAGTTCTTGAAGACTTGGTGGCAGACGGTCACGAGACAAGAGAGATCCTGAAAGGAGATGCCGTCAAGCTCCTGCAGGTGTGCGAGAACAACCTGTTCCACATTCAGACCATCCCGTCCAATGAGAGCAGTCAAGGGATGGAGGGATACGTGACACCGGGATTGCTGAAAAAGATGAACTTGGCTGAAGGTCAGAAATATTGGGTTTAGTTCTAAATAGATTGTGCCACATTTGGCAATAATTTCAAGTCCGTCACACATTAATTTGAATAGCTTGCAATTTGGCTTGATACTGGATGACTTGTGGATGGCTTTTGGGGGACTTTTGATACGGGATTTTGATGACTTTTGAGGACATGAAAAAAAGTTGAAAACAAATTTGAAAACTTTAATTTTCCTACACTGAGAATCCCCAAGCATCTGACACCTTGCAAACTTGGAAAAAGTCGTTGATGCCATAGACTTTTTAACCTTTAGAAGTCTTAAGATGTCTTTCTCATCAAGGAAAGGTTCCTGAAGCAAACGTACAGCATCATCAATGTTCCATTTTCCCTTACAGACCCCCCTGCGTTCACAGAGAGGCTAAAATCGTGCCTGGTCAGCACCGATGATTCGGCCGTCTTAAGATGCTCCTTCACTGGCAGGCCAACCCCGACAGCTACCTGGTCGCTACCTAGGCACCTAAACACGGACAATAAACGGATAGAGATTGTGAACACGGAGGAAAGCTCAATGCTAACTCTGCACAGGTTTACCATGTTAGACGCCGGAGAGTTTGCATGCACTGTGGAGAATTCCAATGGATCGGTGTCCTGCACAGCTAAACTTGATGTCAAAGGTAGTGTTTGAACTTTGATTGTCTTTGTGATTAGTTTAACTCTGAAATGCAACAATTTGAACTCCTTGTATCCATCTGACCGTCTCATTTACCTGTTTTTGGAAACCAAATTCCACTTCTTGGAGTGTAGCTGTATGTCATGAAAATTGGAATAGTCAGCAACAAGTGTGTTTCTTGTGGTAGATGTTGTGAGAAGTCTGTGACAAATGTCGATTAAAATAACACATACAGTTATGTATCCCCCAAAATTAAGGGTGGCATGGGTGGCTTGTGCGTAAAGCGCTTGCCTCTCACCAAGGTGACCACGGTTCGAATCCTTGCCACGGATCGCATGTGAGTAGAGTTGTGCGTTGGTTCTCTCCTGTGCCACGAGGGTTTTTCTCCGGGCCCTCCAGTTTTCCTCCCTCCGGAAAAATCAAACACTTTCGATCTCAGGCTGTGCTCCGTGGTCATATATGGGTCGATGTGGCCGGCAGTCATAGGCGCCTTTACGTGCCAGCAGCCCGACCACATTGTAGCCGCATTCCTTCGCAATTCAGCATACCAGCTGCGAGTAAAGATGATTAGCCTCCCAAATTATTATTAAAATTAGGAGCCATTACTGAAGAGGGACAATGCTCATTCACATGTCACACATGTTCTTAAAGTCAGAGCCTGTGTGCATTTTTTAACCTTTTAGGTCAGAGCGGTATTGAGTTTGTGAGTACGACCTGCGCTCAAGCATAGTCCCACCACATTGTAATATAGGCCACTGAAATGGAATATATCCAAACCGTGGTATTGTTTGAACTCTCTTGCTTTTGGCTAATATATGCCATCTCAGTGACACTCAACAGAGACAAAGCACAGATGTATATCAGCTGGATTTGTAACTTTATCATTTTAAAAACCCTCGTATACATGCAAACATGCATTCTTTGCAAAGTTGTCCTTTCACTCAAAATCAGTCAAGGGACTGTTTGTAACGGTTAAGAGCTCCCGGCCTACATAAAGCAGGATTGACTGGCTGTGACTGTTTATGTAACTTGATACAGCTATGCTTTGACTGTGGGTGATTGATAAGTCAGCCTTGCATTCCACTTGCCTGCTTTTGTCTGTTGACTGAATTTGACTTGTTACCATGCTAGCTTGAAATATGATCGGAGTGTCGGTGACTAGCCTGTGTAAAAGGCATGGCAGGGGAAGTGGATTAATTTTGTTTGACTGTCTGTGACTGTTTAGACAGCAGGAGGGTTAATCAATGCCCGTAAACAAAGTGAACTAATTACCGGTGTACATGAACAAGGGCAAAGAGGTGATCTGGTTACATGTATCCTTCTCTCGCTAGGTGAGACCCTCGCTCCAACAGATCTCAACCTGGACCATGTTCGTGACTCCCCCCGAGCCCGTTCCTCCAGTCCTCTCACTACCCACCCTGCATCCCTGGACGAACCCTCCATGGTCCGCTCCTCCTCCTTGGAGAATCTCAAGACATTAGATGACGACTTCGAAGTCTTGCCTGGTGAGATTGTCCGTGCTTCATCGGTCTCCGGACGCGGAATGCTGAACTCGAGCAAGAAATCCGGCATGGATAAGATTGGGAGTTTCCGGAAGCATTTCCGGAAGGCCTTCAGCACGGTGGGAATGGAGAAAGACAAGATCTTTGCCAACTTACAGAGATCGCAAAGTGGGAGTTCTTTACAGTAAGTTTCCTTTCATTTGTCACTTTTCTTCCGGATTTACTTTCTTCATCTGTAATTTCACAAGCCGATTTAGATTGGCAAATTGAACTGATCTGTAAAAGGTGAAGTATACAAATGGGCCTTATTCACCAGTCAGCCATGTTGAATTGAAAGTGAGGTAAATTGTTTATTTTTGAGAACTTGCGAAGAGAAATAAAAGCAAAGTATATTACTAAATAAGTCAAGTCTGCTTAAATGAATAATTTTAAATTTGTAATTAAGCGTTACCTAATGTTCTTAGCCAGAATAGAAAAAAATTAAAGTAAAATAAGGCTGCAAAAATAGCCTGGCGCCATCCCATTCAGCAGTTAACAATTTATGAAATGATTTTACTTCAGGATAAATGCTGGCAGATAATTGCACACAAGTCTACTGGGAACTTGGTGCCTGAATCTGCATTTTGCAATTTTTCACGATGCAGTCAAAAAGACGTTGAAAACTTTTGTTCACAAAAAAGTTGGGGCATACTAAACACCTTAAAACACTTCGCTGTCCAAACTTTAAAAATGTTGTGCTTACTTCAGAACACAACATTTCTTTAGTATTTGGTACCCGCTACGATTTTGCGAGCATACGGCAAATTGTTTTGTCCCGAAACGAAACTCGTCAAATCTTGATATGCACATGCGCATTTGGAATACGGAACTGGCTTATTAGTTTTTAATTTAAAAAAAGTCTGGGAAAAAAAAAACAAGCAAAAAAAAAACAAATCCAGAAAGTTCGAATCCAAATGCACGTCAGTAAATCACCGGGTACTACTGTTTAATTTGTAATTGAATACATCGTTTAAAAAGTGTCGCCTATCTTACACAGCTAAGAATGTTGTTTGTGATGCCATCTCAGAAATATCCTAGCTGTTCAACGGAATTTTCTAACTAAAAAGGAACTAACCCCTAATACCCCCTCAGACAAAAATCATGGAAGGCAACACAAAGTCCTCAACAAACATACAATGTAATCTTTGACAGAGATCAACTAAGGTTAACTATCATCACACAATAAGTCATCCATTGATAAGGATCAAGATTAGGAAGTCATGATCCAATATATTTCTCTTTATTTTAATACCATAATACACATGATGATTGTAAGAAGGCCGTCATGAGTAATTGTGTTAGGGCCATGTCACTAAATCTTGCCACACACCTTTCCGTTTTACCGGTTCACTGGATCACCGGTTTCTTCACCGTTGCGGAGACCGCAACGTTACCCCGCACACATGCCCGATTCCATTCTGTAATCGGTCACATGATGATCAGTCACATGATGACCATTCACATGATGACAGAATGGCAGCCGTCAATTTTAAATCATGTGACTTCCTTCGTGAATCTGATTGGTTAACATAAATATTGCGTCCGGTGAAATTGGAGTGCTGCCCGCACACCTTTCCGGTGAAATCGGATGCGAAAAAATCAAACATGTTTGATTTCATCCGAGATCGCCTGGTGTATGGTCAGATTGGTCCAATTTTCAGCACACACGTCTGCTATGTGTACGTCTGATGATCTGGTAAAATAAGACGGTGTGCAGTGGGCTTTAGGCATTTAAAGCACAACTTGTTTGGGGCAATCTCCAAGAAGAAGAATGCAAGCAAATTTCATTCCTTGAAATATGCTTAAAGAAATTTTCCTAATCTGTTCGAAAAATGTTGTAATTCCATCTGAAAAGCCCTCTCATAACTTGGCCTCTTAAATTAGAACTGTTTCTGGGAATGTGATGTTCATCAGGCCTCAAAGCAAAACCTTTAAAACTTACAAAAACTATAAAGATCTATATACATGTAAATCAATTTGGGAGCCTATGTTTTATAAAAGTAACTATAAATAATCTAGAAAAAGCTATATTTGTATTGTGGCAAAAAAGGCTGAATATACTAGAGCTTCGTGGCTGGAATTATCCCATGAACATAGACTCAACTGTGATGGCACACTGTTGTTCTGGAGACTTTTCAGAATCTGTCGGAAAAATGTATTCATAATTTCGACCGTAGGGAAAATAGCTTGCAGTTCATTTAGGTGCCTGCAAGTTATCCTTGACAATTTCTGAGTGCAACTTAATTGACACCCAGGTTAGAACAGTGTCATGAACTGGCTTGCTCTTTGGAGGTTGAGACATATTCAAAGAGGAAAAGAGAATAGAAAAAGCTTGGAATTATGCTGTTGCTGTAACTCTTCACCTTTTGAAATAGTCGAGAGTTATCGTCTGGACAGTGTTCATAACCTTGCCTGACATTCAGTGTACAGCCGGATGTTCATGTTGTATGATCTGGTACACGGTACCCTGTGGAGACATGGGTGTAATAGGGAACAAAAGATTGAATACATCTCCACAGGGCAATTTCTATAGGTGAATACAAGGTTATCACGAAATAGATATATGGATTTTACTCAAAAACTAGGAATTTCCAAGGTGTGTCATGTGTTGCAAATTGAAGTATTTTATGTAAGGGATATTAAGTCCAAATTTCAGCCCAGGGAATTAATTCTGGTTAAAATAGGAGCATTTTGAAACTACACTTTCAAACTCGAAAACTTTAGTACTCGAGAACAAAGAAATGACTCCACAAGGATACAAATTCCAGTATATATTGCATACAGAGTTTACATCAGTTTATAGAGCACCCTCTGGTGTTTATAAAATTCATTAAATTTAAGAGTGTATAAAAAGTTTGCAAATATGTAACATGAATTTTTTCCATCTGTTTATTTAAAATTGGGCATTGTCACTGTCATAAAGTTTTGTTTTTCTTTCTGCGTTTTATTGATTCGCAGAATATACTTCATTTTTTTTTGAAAATGGTAGGATTACAAAGAATTAAGGTACTTGAAGAAGATTATGCAATAAGAGAAACAACAAACACTTAATTCAAGCGATTCACAATGCAGTGCGCCACCAAGAGTTTGCCACCAAGAGTTTGCCACGGGGAGTTCATTTTTCCCAGTGCATTGTGGGAGATGGTCGACAAATTCGCAACGCGGGACATTTGACCGTAGACTTGAAAAATTAACTTTCCGTGGCAAACTCTTGGTGGCGCACTACATTGTGAATCGCCCAAATTATGACAGCAGAACTAATTGTATTAAACAAGGTAGCCATGGAGGGTACAAGATTTACGAGAGTGGTCTAAAGTGAAAAATAATTGGAATAATTTGGGTATTTTTCTGTTTGTTCACTTTATTACCCTAATGGGTACAAATGAATTATTTGTGGTTATTAATTAAATTAGGAAAGTAAATGCTCATTATAGCATGGTAAAACAGTCGCCAAAAAAATAAAATAAAATAAAAGGCTAGGCTGGCCGAGATAAGCCTTAACTTCGCCTCCCCCACCCCCCAAAAAGCAGATGTGGATTAAAGCATTTCTCAAACCCTGGATTCGTCTCCATTTCAATGTCATCTGGCAAATTGAAACTTTTCAGGGAAATTTTTGATAAACCCTTCCCCCACCCATGAACAGTTTCTCGCTACACCACCAAATCTGACTCATTTTTTCCCGGTAATTTACATTTTTTGCACACTTGCATAACATTTTTATCATGTCTGTATACATACCGGTGCTCTATCATTGGCACACCCATCTTACGTCGGTTGCACATTATTGCCATGCCTTGATATAATGTTACGCTCATCATGTGTTAACAAGGTCGTTGCATGTGATAATTCTCTAATGTCTGGCACATTGATGGATGGGATGGGAGTGCACATGCCATGTTACTGGTAGATGCAGCAAAGGGTGATAGCATGCTCAGTTTATGACGTGCTTTTTTGTTTTGCATGGATTCACACAATTATAGAACAATCTAGGTCCTGTCATAATGGACGAAAAATTCAAGGTTTTGAAGTTGTATAGAAAATGATCAGTTTCTTGGTGTAGATTAGTCATTCTATAAATTTGGGGTCTACATTTTTCCTATCTCAATTTTATCTGACTATTATAGTATTAACAATTTCTGTAAATTCTGGACGTACTCCTGATGCCTTTTCCCCCTTATGTATAGCAAACTGCTGACTCAACAAATGAGAAGAGTTTGAATTTAGTTTTAGGCCTAATGATACTTGTGGGGCAAATTAAAAGTTCAGAGGTAATGGGGGAAGGAAAAAAAAGTTAAACTTCAGACCCAAAAATTATTAAATGGCAAAGAGGGGAAGTTTGTTACTTGAAATTTGAACTTGTCTTGCCTAAAGCTCTATTCCGCGATAACAACTACATTTGTTTTTCTGTTCATCAATGTACATTCTGTAACTGTATTGAGATTTCCCCATGACAACTACATTTTGAGGAAAAAAAAACAAAGAAAAAATACAGAACCATTTCAATTGTGAGGTTTGATGAGTGATTATGTTACTTTCAGTTACATATTCACTCATCATTGACCTATTCATATATTTATATATGGAATCTTGGTTTGAGGTGTAAATTGCTGAATTTTATTAGCCTAATGTTGGGATTTGCCGTAATAGCAGGCTACGTGGTTACAACACCCTTCCCTAGCCCATCCCAACCCCTTAAACACAAAATCAATCAAGTTCAGATTTTTTTTTTTTTTAATTGAACCGTAAGGTAGAACAAAAAAATGAAGAAAAAAAAACAATTAAGAGAGAATGAGAATTGAAATGCATGCGGGCCTCATGTCATGTTGTGACAGGCACGTCACAAAATCTCCAGTAACCAAAAGAAATTGAATTGGAACAAAAAGATGTATTTATTGAACCATGGAGGAAGGAAAAATTAATGAGAGAATTAAGATTGAAACTCATGCAGGCTTCATTTGCATGTACAGTGACAGGCACATCACGAAACCTCCAGTCACAATTAATTTTTTTTCCCCGAACAGTGCATTACACGTATCCATTCATGAAAACAGGGACGCTTTAACATCACTTAAGTTGAACATTATCAACAATGACATTTATGTACTTTCTGGTAGGAAAAAAAAGAAGAAGAAAATTCTGGCAGCCTTATGCTGATGGTACACCATGGTGTTGGATTTACTACATAAACAGCTGTTTCGGATCTCTGCTGAGATATCACTACATGCAGTACACCACTCACTTCCTATAGACACATAAAACAAGAATAACAACTAATTTGGTGTGGTTTTGAATTCATTAAAACATTACCCGCTATTTGATGTCCTCCAGTCTTCAGTGGGGCAGTACAAAACCGTAGTTCATTGCTCTATCATCAAGCCCCGCACACTGTGCATGGACATATATGGTCAAGTTATGTGGTAATATACAGCACTTATGTTGTCCGACTGTACACCGGACTTGCCCTGTTAGCCTGCTTATATGGCGGTTGGGGGTGTTAGGTTCTGCACAGCTGTAGTAGTGCAGAATGAAGGAGGATTGAAATGAAAATTTGGCAGTCCAATTAACTAAGGTTGAGGTTGGTGGACAAGTGTATTGCAGGGCAATGAACTTTGCTCTATTGGTTTGTGCAAAGTGCACTTGCAGTTGAGAGAATTACTAGGCATGTAATACAACAAAGACATGAGGTTCATTAAAATATGATAAATTATGTATAAACACAGATTAAAATTGTTTAAGTGCATTTCAGTATAATTGAACTGGAGCGAAATACATGAAAAGAAATCTTTAAATTGAAGTGACATTTTCAACGTCTTCAGTGAAGAACAAAGTCGTATTTTGTTGAACTGGAGTAAAGAAAGATAATGCTAACATTGGTTCTAAAATTATCATATTTTTGGGGAAATTTGTGGCACACATGCTTTGTCAGCACAGTTATACACATAATCAGAGGAAACTAGTAAGCTTATGGCGGTAATCACAATTCAAGACATAAGAAAACAACAAAGCAATATATGTATAACAGGGGTGTGAAATCTCAGCTTTAAAGCTGATTTCAGCCTTTTTTGTTTTGGATTTCAGCTTTTTTCCCTCACTTGCTGTGTAAAAAAGTATAGGAGATTTCCAAAAATCTGGGTTTTTTTCACATCTTTATCCAGCTGTTTTCAGCTATTTTTTATCAGTGGTCACTCACACCCCTGGAGTAAGTGTGCCCAAAAATCAACAGCATTTGATCTGCCTAAAGGTTTCATATATCCTAAATTTATCAGAAATGTTCAGCAAATGTACAAAATCTTAGAAAATAATTGAAAATGCTTTATCTAAAAGAAATGTGTGGACGGGGTACATAGCTTTTTCTTTTTGGAAGGGGGGGGGGGTTGCTGGCGGGGAAGTATTGAGTAGATATGGGGTTGTGGAGTTGTTGTTTTTTGTAGAGCACAACAGATCAAAATGTGCTATTTCGGTAACTGCATAGTTCGGGATTGTGACAGATTTGAGATTTCTGTTATAAGGGGATTGAGGGGGAGTAAATAACAACATACTAAAAGACGTTTTGTTAATTTTTGCAGGAAAAGTAAACACCAACAGAGATCAACAACGTGCATTCACTGCAAAGCATTGAAGGACGATGTAGGGGAGGATGGACACGCCCTTTGTGAGATGTGCACGCAAAGAGCAATGGCGGGGAGTCAAGAAACACTGATGGAAGAAGAAGAAGATGCGGCAGTCAAATAGGTGAGTAATAAATTTTAGTTTTGATCCTGCCTTCATAGGGCAGCTATTACATACAAGCTATTACAATCTAGTTGGTAGTCTGTCGAGTACCATGCCCAAGTAATTGAATCAAAGTGCCCTCTATTGACCAATCAGAAGTAACGTCATGTGATTCTTCAAATAAAAAATGCACACACAGAAAATAAAAAGACTGCTTATTTCAAAGAAATCAGTGTTTCCCACATCAAAATTTGCTTTTCAAAATAAAGCAAATAATTTTGTACCTAAAAATAAAGACTTTTACAGTACTTTTCAGAAGATGTGAAATCGGCATTCCAAATTAAGTAAATGGGCTAGATAGTAGACACTACATCTTGTTGTTGGAATTATTACACTCTGATGGGTTTTCATTAAGGCCACTGGATAGGGGTGGTTTTAGCTAATGGATTTGCGTCACTTTTTCTGGTATAATTTATGAATGGTCTTTCTTACAACCACAGCTGGTTTATAGTTATTGGCATGACCTGACGTTAGGTGACACATTACATGTACGTCATGCCTTATGTTTATCCTTCTATTCCCACAAAACCGATTCTTTTCATTTTTGAAGAGATGTCTTTTGAAAATGTTTAAAATCTAGGAGGCCTTGATAAAAAAAATCATATTTTGTGGGAGGGAGGCACTTAATCAAAATTGTGGGCATTTACCTCATGTTGAGCTTTAATTGAACTGCACTTTTGAACTTTCACATCTGTTGAATAAAGGCCTTCTTACACTGGACAAATCTCGTGGTTGACGGGGGTTGAATACATGCGGAGTTTCAAATGTTCAACCCTGCATCAAGCCTGCGTCAATCCTGAGATTGATTTTGCCCCGGGTTGAAATTTTCAACCCGGGTTGAAACTCTCGCCTGGGTTCAAAACCGTAACAACCGAGCTTCTTAATGCGGGGTTGAAAAATCAAAAACTTTACCCTGGCCAGCACTGGGTTCACCCAGGGTTGAGTTCAACCCGGGTTGTGAGGCTCTAGTGTGAAAAGGCCTTAAGTGAAATATTATTGATTACGAGGAAGAAGCGGGTTTCTGGGTTGTCAGATTGACAGAGTGATGCCGATGATGTCCAAGGTTCTAATCCCGCCAAAGTTACTGTGTACATATACATAATACCTCAGTTTACGATCTCGCTGAGATTGATTCCCAGGGGTTCACGTTTTATCCCCTGACATTTTCTGCCATTCCTTGGCTAGCCCTGTGCCAGAATCCGTATTTCATAGAAATCTTGGCTCATTCCCAGAACAGTATAATGAAATCAGTCACTACTTTCACGGTACAAGTACAGCCCGAGTCAGGGTCAATTGACCTTAATATTCCCTTCCTCATCAGCTTGGATTTAAATCAATAGTTACGACCCTGGAAAATACTAATCCATTGAAGGGATACTGGTAATAAGTTGCTTCAAAACTTTTGATTTCCTTGAACTCCAGTCTCTAGCTAGTATACATTTAATAATTCCTCTTGATATTTTTTTATTAGCTTTTGAAATTAATTGTGCCGGAAGAGATACTTTTTTATTTTTTTTTATTTTATACTTTTTGATATGTCTTTAAAAAATACATCAAGTTCTCCTTTTTTCTACATGCACAGTATGTATGAAGATGAGTAAGAGGTGATAAGTCTTAGTTAAGAGATTGTCCAATTAAGGAGTAATTAAAAAGAGCATTTATAAGATAGAGCACAAGCTTTTTGTTTATTCTAAATTTTTGTTTGTATGTTTGAATGACTACTTCAGTTTGGAAGTGAAGAACTAAAACTTGCAACTTGCCCATCCCAAGAATTTTTTTTTTATCTATATAATGTGGATAATTTTTTAAGATAATAAACTAAGAAGTATTTCATTGGCAGTCATTTCTCTCCACCTCTTCATGTATATCATCTTCAACCCTCCTCTATTTTTCCTTACGACACTTACATCACAAAGCACTACAGGGCCGGTCGATCATTGCTCATATATGGCCAGCGCTCACCGCTGGTAGCAGTCTATTTAAAAATGCCACTGGAGATACCGCGGAGAGGTTAGCCCACAAAATGCTTCTCCCCGAGAAATCCCAACACCATCCCTGGCTGCCGTCCGCCAATCACGGCCGGCGACTCATACACCCCGGGCTGACTGTCCCGCGCTGTGATTGGCCGCAAGTGGCCACCACATACCTTGATTAGTAGCAATGCCTTCTTTAGAACTCATTCCATGCATACCAGATAGGAGGTCATCGCTGGGTATCATTGTATGCGGCCCCTGGCTTTCCGTATTCAGCCGCCGATTCTCTGCATTAGGCCGCTAGGACTGTCTTACTTCCCTTTGCTTTCTTTGCTCTGTGGTGTGTCTGGCTCTGCCTAGTACATTTTTTTTCTCCTCGTGGTTTAGCCACGTTGGTTTCCGCACACACACACTTTAGTATCTGAGCTTAGCCAACGAGCAAACTTCAGCCTCCTCATCTGCCATCTTCGAGGCTTCTTTTTAGTTAATCTCTCTCATTCTGTTGGAAGTCAGCTTCAACATGGCCACAAAGGGTGAGCATTTCTCTTCTCTCTATTTTTAAAATTTTCTTTTTCATCCCATTCTTTTTGTGCATGGTTTACTAACGCTCTCCTTCCCCCTTTGATTTCTAACATAATTTCCATTAGGTTAAATTAGTATTCGTACATCATTAGCAATTACCAATTAATCATTGTTAAAAGGTTTTATTCTTAAACTATTTTCTGTGAGGACTTCAACACCACACTAAATATGTGTAAATTAAAAATATCTGTACCGCATGAAAAAGTATCAACCCCATAACATTAAGTTTTCACTATACTTTGCCATTTTAATTTGTCTAAAAACAAGTGGGGAAATTTTATATATATTTTTTCTCCTTATACTTGTTACTTTCTTCATTTTCTTCTTACCGGTTCACTATGCTTTGCATGTTTCTTAGCTTAGTCTTGCTTCACTTGCCCATACCATTCATTGCACATGCCATATATAGCATTGTTATTATGCCTGGTATGCTGTATGGTATTATCAACCCGAATAGCCATTTTAATAACTGAACTAATTATTGCAGAGGATGGTTTCTGGCTTGAAAATTGGGGTGTATTAGGATGTCTTGTTGTATGTCTAGAAACTGTCCAACTGGGAGATATATTTTTCCCCATTTAGGGGTTATTATTGTCTTCCTTTAGGAGCAGTATCATTCGGAGGGATAATATTCCCAGGGGATGTCTGGATATGTCCCCCGTTTGGCAGACATTACCCTCCTTTTGGGATATATATTCCTTCTTTTGGGATATATTATCCCAATCAGAGGTATAATTTTAGCCTACCAGCCTGGATTCACTTCTAACTACAGTTCCAAACTACTTAAATTAGTCAAAATTTAATGAGAGACCAAAATGAGAAGCACCTGATCTTCCCACCCCCCCCCAATTGTTTTTGTTTTGTTTCCCTTCATTTGCACCACACACAACCCACCAAAATAATTGTTTTACTGGTAAAGATTAGGTATTTACTACTAACTCCCTACTGAGTTTTACTGAGAACGATACCAAGTCTGCCAAAATCCATCACTGACTCTGCTTCAAGTAATGCTTCAGGACCAAATCCGTTGAAATCCACCACAAATCCACCACTGCTATTGGTGGGTTTTGATGGACTTGGTACTCATGCTTGTCTGCTAAAATCCCCCAAAATGTGGGTGGGGTGGACTTTGATGGAGTTCGGAAGGTTAGGGTTAAAAAAAGTATTTGTCATATTTTTATTAAAATTCATGGAAAAGTTTTAAAAAGAAAAGTTTCACACCCAAGTTTTACCCACAATTTATTGTTCATTCAAGTGCTCTCAGCTGTATTTGTGACTAACGTCTCCACTGTGCTTTCTTACACGGTTAAATGCCGCAAGACGATTAAAGGCCTTTTCAAACTATTGTCTTGTCTGCCCATGTTGAAATCAACACGGGTCCATGGTACGCGTAACTGGTTCCCATCATACACGGTTAGGTTTCGTAAGGTTCACACTGTCACCCGAGTGTACATTGGTTGGTTGTAGATTTTGGATTTTCTACCCAGGTAGAGCTCTCAGTAGTCCTGACCAGGGTTGGATTATATCCGTTGTACAGGGTGTGGAAAACAAATGGAAACCTAGATGTAAATCTAAATTATACAAAAATGTAATAAATATTTTGAAATAGGTTAAAGATTATGTGAAAGACTAATGAGTCCTCTTTCCAATGATACCGGGTACCTTGATTGTGTGTCTGTGGCCACGGATGACTGAGCAACCATTGTTTTTCTGTCAAGGACCAAAACCTGCACTGGGCCAAGTTTGTGCATAAGGGTATCTCATGTGGAACGGCTAAATTTAAAGAAAGAAGACATCTTGTCTTTAAAACAATTTATTCAATTCTCACACAGTAATGTATCCACTCTCATTGTTGAAGTTCACCTCTCATGGCCTAATGCCTTCAAAGTTGCCACCACTGTGCAAGACGTCGCATATCGTCGACCGCCCGTCTTGCCATGGCCGGACTTTTCCATAGGTTATTCACTTTTTGCTCAAACTTGGCCCAGTGTAGGTTTTTACCCTTGACAGAAAAACAATGATTGATCAGTCATCCATGGCCACAGACACACAATCAATGTATCATTGGAAAGAGGACACATTGGTCTGTCACATAATCTTTAACTTATTTGAAAATATTTATACATTTTTTATAATTTAGATTTACATCTAGGTTTCCATTTTTTTATACACCCTGTACAACGGATAGAATCCAACCCTGGTCAGGACTAAATCTGGGAGCTCTACCTGGGTAGAAAATCCAAAATCTACAACCAACCAATGTACACTCGGGTGACAGTGTGAACCTTACGAAACCTAACCAACACGGAGATTTTGGACATTGGGAAATGCCCTTCAATCAAACCACCTTGTAAAAACTTGAGCATCCCCAGTCTGTGCTCTTCCCTGGTTTGCTTGCCAGATACAAATCAAAAAGTAGTCAGAAACAAATGTTAATAGCAGGCATGTGACTCTTTTGGCCAATGGGAACTGCTGAATTGCCTGAGGATTAATAGGGATTAATGAAGGATTAATTACAGATGAATGACAGTTGTGTTTTCATTGACTGTTAATGCATGATTTTTGTTTTGCATATTGTATTAATGCATTTATTTTTGAATTTTGATTGATAACCTTTTCTTTCAAATTTCAGTTAATCCTTTATTTAAGTACATGTATGTTGGGCAGCATTACATTGACAAACTTCCAAGATCACAACATTACTTTTTTTGTGTCTAGATTCATATAATGTGGAGTGGTCTGAAACAAAACCACCAAATACTTGGCCGTCATTTGCATGATAACTATACGAGACTTCAGATGGTCATAGCATCAGGAATTAATTGCCAAATAAGTTGTGGGGCCTTGAAAGCAAGGTTTTCACATCAGTTGACTTCAAGCCATTTTACCGTTTGGAATAATATGGGGTGGGTGCCATGTTTGCACCGGTTTTCTATCCAAAGTGAAACGGGTAAACTTGTTGGATTAAGTGTATTTTTTTGTCAATTTGTCTCAAAAATGCAGGACCTGTGTTTGTTCAGGAGATGAAAGACGTTTCCGAGATTGAGAAGAGTGCAGCCGCCTTCGTAGTTAAGATCAGCGGTGACAAACCCATCACGGTCAAGTGGAGTGACGAAGACGGGCCAGTGGACATCGACGGGGTATTAATCAGTTGCGACGACGATGAAGACGAAGGCGTTTACATGCTCTCCATCACCGAAGTCGATTTTGAGAAGCACTCCGGTTTATATAGGTGCGAAGCATCAAACAAACATGGCTCGACGATTTCCGAAGCCACCCTATACGTAGAAGAAATGCCCGAAACTGCCAAGACCCTAGTCGACAAGGTAGAACACAAGGAATAAAACTAAAGCAGCAGGCTTCAGTTCAAGAGATCCCCCTCCCTGGTATTTAGAACAGCCCCTCAAAAAAGAAACAGTCATGACCATTGGACAGAAAAGTGTCTCCGTTTGATTGAACTGGACTCGGAAAACGTCGCATCACAAGTTCACAGTACAGACTATTTTCTTGGGACAGATTCCACTCGCAGAGAAGCCAGCACGCTTCGGTGTCATGAACTTTCCATGCCTAATCAGCCAACTCCATAAATATAGACATTAGTAAGCACCTAAGTACTTAAACCAACGTAGAAAGATTTATAGGCTGAAAATATACCGAACCTGATTAACCTACTATAATCTGCAGTGGAGCCATGCTGTTATAAATATCACACATCAGAAATTTGCCACTAAGAAGGTCACATTAGCTTGTAATATGTTAGAATGTTACTTTCTTCATCAATCACTATGCATATTTATTGTGAATGTGAACCCCTTGGTGTTTGTTACAGAGATGTTTGTTTGTTCTTAGTCAACTATTCTTCTTCTTTTTTCATATGAAATTCCCTTATAACAACAACACCACAAACAGTAAGAGCTGCCTGAATTAGGATAAACACAACAGAGTGTGATCATGGCTCATTTTCCAAAATGTTCTTCCTTCTCTCAAGAGCATATTTTTTCAAACCTGTATAAGAAATCTTGCTTAGATTGTTTCTGGAGAAACTGAACAAACTCTTTAGTCCATACAAATAAATACAGAGAACAAATGTTGTATAGGTCTCGTTCAAATGACGTCATTTCCTACAGACCATCCACGTGCATCGGTATTTTGAGCGTTAACTTGCATGACGCGTATCGGCTGCATCGTATTTCGAACACATTTTGAGCAACAAGCGCACGTGTTTGGAACACTTTCAACACTGTGCAATGCGTGCTTGATTGCATAAAATACGCAGTTGCAGTTCTCCTGCAGAGATGGCTGTCATTGAGCGAGCTCCTATTTACAAAACTGACTTTACAAATACAAGGTTTTTTTAATTGTTGAAAATTTTGTTTTACCCATTTTGACTCTTTGCTGCGCCCATGGGGCCAATTTCATAGCACTGCTTAATGTGTAGCAGAAAAGCGCTACGTGTAGCATATTCGTGGTGTAGACATGCTAACTCTTGCACATGTATGCACGGATGCTTCAGTGTGTTGCATTAAGATTTGAAACAAATGTTGCCTTCAAAATTAGCATGCACTTTGCTTATAGTCTGTGTGTAAGCTGGTCGAGACCTGGTCTTAAATGGTAATCATTAGCTAGGGCTACAGCGAATCACTACAGCATGCCACTCAAAACCTGAACCCTGATATTACCCAGATCCGACAGAGGCCTAGCAGAAAGTAGTGCAATGAAATTGGGCCCTGGCTCTACCCCTCTGTCCCTGCTCCCCCCTAACCCCCCCTCCCCCCCACCCTGTCCTCTTCCACACAGGTCATCCATTTCTGGATATGAATGATTACGGCATCTCATAATGTGCCTTACTTTGTAATGAGCTGCTACATGATTTTATACCATGTCCAAGTAATCATTATTAATAACTATTGGATCCAAAGAACATTTTTGTAGGTTTTTTAGAATCAAATAGGTAACAAACAAATACTGCCTTTGCTTTGTAGCTATGTGTGCTGTGTACAAAGTTTATATTAATATTTATTAAATGTAAACCAATACAAATATAAACAAAAAAATGCAAACAAAAAAAATGGCTGCCTCATGAAGTAGATCAGATCAATATATGTTACTGTTTGTCTGAACGTGACAACATTTTCACATTATGTTTCGGTAGTAACATAAGTACGTAAAACCATTTCTAGTGTAACTTGTACAAAAGCATAGAACTATTTGAGATCAGTGTTCACTAGGTTAGTAGTAGATCAACTAGATTATAAGCAGGTTACTGGTCAATCAACCCTAGTTAACATATCAGTAATATAAGTAGGTTATTTGTACATGTGATATGTATGTAAGTTGGACACTTTTTATATCAAAGGCATAAATTCAGAATGTCAGTATGCAATTTTATATTCACTTGGATATCTAAACACTCACAGTAATCTCACAGTAATATGTTTTACGATGAAGGAAATCCAAGTTTTCTAAACTACTCCCTAAGTGTGTACATGTATTGCGCTGATAATTACCCACGATCACTCGTATACTTCACGATTTGCCAGAAAAAGAATATTATACAGATATTTAGGCACAGAGATGTTATAGAACTTGGCATCTGTAATTTAGTTCATCCTGGGAATAAACAGATTTTTGCCTTTTACCCTGTAGTTCGGTTTAGATCTTTCTAAAGAACTTTAACTTTCTTTTATTCATCTTTAATGAGACATACATGTATGACTACATGATTTAAACATTTTGGAACTTCACATTATCCTTAAGGACATTCACAAGTGTTGCTGATCAGATTTTTTATCATCTCCCTTATCATCACAAGTGTATTTTACCAGTATTTTGGCTTTTTAAAATATATAAATCATTGGTTGATTTATTCATCAATTTACCAGACCCAATAAAAGACCTGATGGTTTGCAGAGAAACATTGTATAAATGTTTAAATTCCCTTTTTTATTCCTTCTTTTGAATTTGCTACAGGCCCATAACCAAAAATGTGATTCAGAATAAAAGCAGATCTTCCAAAACCCTCCCTCAGGTTGCATTGGGTACTTCTACCCCCATCCCTTGGGTTGGATATATTTCCATTCTTCCCCCCCCCCCCCAAATTGATGGGTTGGATACTCCCCCTTCTTTCCCCTCCCCAAGGATTTGTTGCATACTTCCATTACCCGCCCATAGGATAGGTTGGTACCTCAATACCCCCTCCCCAGGACGGGATGAGTACTTTCTCGCCCCTTCCCAAGGATGGGATGCATGGGCGTCGCGAGGGGGGGGGCAAGGGGGGCACTTGCCCCCCCCCCCCCCTGGAAAAGCAAAAAAAAAAAAAAAAAGAAAGAAAGAAAAAGAAAGAAAAAAAGAAAGAAAGAAAAAGAGGCGCGAAGACAAAGTGGTGTAAATTTAATGAGTGGGGGGGGGGGCCAAATGTCCCTGCCCCCCTCTAAAACTGATAAATCGAGAATGTGTTGAGAAATACAAGCATTTTTTGGCAAATTTTTTTTTGCCCCCCTCTAGAAAAAATCCTGGCGACGCCCATGATGGGATGGGTACTTCAATACTCCCTTCCTATAGGATGGGTTGGGTACCTCAATACCCCCTCCCTAGGATAGGATGGGTACTTTCCCGCCCCTTCCCAAGGATGGGATGGGTACTTCAATACCCCCCTTCCCAAGACGGGATGGGTACTTCAATACCCCTTCCATACCCCCTTCCCAAGGATGGGATGGGTACTTCAATACCCCCCTTCCCAAGACGGGATGGGTACTTCAATACCCCTTCCATACCCCTCCCCCAGGATGAGTTGGTTACTTCCATGGGCCTTATTCACGAGTCAGCCATATTAAATGGAGAGTGAGTATACATTTGTAAAAGCTTCATTTTTGGAACTTGTGTAGAGAAATGAAAGCAATGACGTTACAAATTAATACCAGTCTGTTCTGATGAATAATTTAGAATTTGTTATTAAACATGGCCTAATGTTTGAAGCCACATTTAAAAAAAATGAATGTGGGGCAAGAATGAATAATTAGTCTGGTACCATCCCATTCAAAAATTCACAATTTATGAAACACATTCAGGGAACACAACAAAAACGGTTTCCTCTTGAATAAGGTCCATCCCCCTTACCCCAGGATGGTTGGGTACTTCCATTATCCTCCCCTATTATGGGTCAGGAACTTCTGTATCCCCTCTCATGGATGGATAGGGGAGGGGTACTTCCAAACCCCCCCCCCCCCCCCCCGAAGGGTTGTTTCTTTCAACGATTCTGTTAAAGTAGTGGATATAGATTTCACTAGGCTTCTTTATATACAAATCCGGGCACGTTATTGCTACAATTGGAAGGCCCCCTTCAATGGAGAAACCGTCGTGCACAGATTATCTGAACAATTGACCTATCACCGTTTGCGAGTTAGCCACGCCCCTTAGACAACACTATGGAAGTTTTGTACGTTAATGTTTGTTTGTCTCAGATTTTTTGCGTTCCGCGTCCATTTGTTTATCATGTAATTGGACAATGTTTCACAAGCTGCGTTGACGCAATTTTAATGCGAGGCACAATGCTTTCGCCATTGATGGGGTCGATGTGATAGAATTGATGGCGTGCCCATAGATTGGTCTATAGGACAGTATTGGACAGGCAAATGACCATATAGGGCCATATTAATGGGAGTGGATGCTTTCACTTGGCTTTGGTTTTCAAGTGGACATTCATTTTCTAGTGTCCGAGTCTTTCTCACAACTGTTCTAAATCCCATGGAATACACATAAATCTTGTCCACTAATACTCTGAAGTCCATCACTTGGACAATTTTTTTGCCACTGTGAATAATAGGTTAAGATATGGGGGCCATTTAATTAGACTATCGGGCATGGTAATGTTAGAAATGTTTGTATGATCATGGGATAGAAGCTATGTTTGGGATTTTATCTAGTTTTGGGAATCTACTTCATTTTGAACAAAAGATATGTTGTGATAATTTCATTTAATTTTACGGTAACCATTCCTTACTCATAAAGTCAATTCAAAGACACATCTTCACCAAAAAGCAAGTAAATGTTTTTGATTGCAATAACATATTTTCAGGTAGTTTACAAGTAAGATTTTTCCAGACAAATTTTTTTGGTTAACAAGTTCATTGGACAACATG